GTAGAAGAAAATAAAATTGTACGGAGACTATTCCAGGGCTTGACAGATGGGGAAAGCATTATTTTGTGAAATTTTTATTTTGAACACACACACACACACACTTCTGATGTGAAGTGCATTTCTCACTTTGAGTCGTAGTTTGAACAATATGAACTATATTGGTCTAGAGTTCTAAATTTAACTTCTGAATATTTTCCCCCCTTAAAAACCCCAAGTATTTAAGACCCAAATAGAATAAGCTTAACTAACATGAAATAATGTGAAAATCTATGTCTTTAAGGTATGGTGTTGCAGAAGAGTACTGGACTCCCAAAAGAACACACAGGAGAAGGTGCAACCAGGAGTGTTCCTCAAAGGCAAGCTTGGTGAAGCTTCCTCTCACATACTGTGTGCATGTTGTTAGAAGAGGCTACTCACTGGAGAGGGAAGTCATGCTTGGAATGGTGGAGAGTCAGAAAAAGAGAGGAAGACTTTCACCAAGATGGAGTGGCACAGTGACTGCAGCAATGGGCTCAAGTGTGTCAGAAATGAAGAGGATGACACAGGATAGGGCAAGGTTCAGATTTGTTGTTCGTAGCGTTTCTATGAGCAGTACTCAACAGCACCTGACAGCGACAACAATGGAAAATAAAAAGCAAGAACACTCTAATTATAAAGGGCCCAATATTAGAATTTGGCTTTTAAAAACTAGTTATACTAACCTTAATATAGGAAAGAAGGTAGATCTTGCCTCACAGCTTCATGTTCTTTCTTGTTTTAAAAAAATCATATTAAAAGAAGAAGAGCATTGGAAGGTTAATCCTCCTTCTAGCAGATAGAACTCACAACATAGTGGGCTTGTAAAGCACACAAGAAAATGAATGTAAACACAAGGTCTTTTTTTATTATTTCTCTGAAGCACAAAAGAGCTCACTCAGCACAAAAACAATAAGCAAATCAATACAAATATTGAGAAAATTTTTTTCAGAGAATACATACATATACATTCTGAAGAGCAGCAGTCAGGAGTTGAACAATTTCGGGAGGTTCTTTCTGAAGAATGCTTTCTGACAGGTTTTTCAAACGAACAGGTAAGTAACTGCACATAACAGATGAGCTAGGAACAGCATCTGATACCCAAACTAGCTGAACCTCAAGTTACGTGGCCTCGAAAGCCATCTTGGAATTTACATTTAATTCTAGCCTTGATTATTCTGTTAAGATTCTCACATTTCATTAAACCTGGATGATATCCTTAAGACAATCTCTAAACTCTCTCTCACTGACAGGAGAGGGAGATGGGTGAGTTTGGGCACAAAAACAAACAGAGTGACCAGTGTTATGACTCCCACTAGTTGATATCTCTTTATGTGGGAACTTCTTTTTGTGCCTTCCATTTAAAGACATTGAGAAATTAGAGTACAAGATTATACCTAAAGTGGTGAGTCGGTCTGAAGTGACAAACATCTTCAAGGCTTCAAAAAGAAAAGAAAACATCAAAATCCACAATGCTTGGTGGGTGGAGGGAGGGAGCCAAAAACAAAACAAACTACAAAAAACAACATACATGAATTGAACACAATAAAAGGGGGGAGGAGATAATAAGTTATTTAAAAATTAAAAAAATTAAGACACTCGTTATTGTAAATTTATTAGCCTATGTTTTAATAGTTCATAATACTCTCTTTTAAAACATGTTTCCAGCATTATTATCAACTCAAAGTAACCCCAAGTGGCTTGGCTGTGAAAGTCATCTTGGAATTTACATTTCATTCTTCACAGGCCTGTTCAACCCTCAGATTCCGTTAAACTCCATAGACAGAGCACAGTAGAATTAAGCTCCACAGGGTTGCAAATAGATGACTTATTGGATGCCAGTCATCCAAGGTGCAACTGGGTGGATTTGAACGTCCAACCTTTTGGTTTTCAGCCAATCATGTAAGCCGTTTATACCACCTAGGAACTCCCCAATAGGCTACAGAAGCATCTAATTCTGGATACCGTCTGTGTACAGCACAAAGTAAAATTGACACAACACGCCTTCTAGCTCTCCTTTAAAGCTTCCATCTGCCTGGCTCTGAAGTGAAAAGACTGGAAATAGGAAGAGTCTGGTAGGCTGGTAGGGAGGGAAGATTCAAAGTGCATTCCTGGATCTCACACTCATTTTCTTTCCAAAGAGCTCAGCTGCAGCTGCCAACAGGCACACTTCAAAATTAGCTAAGGATTGGGGGTGAGGAGTGTTTTCCTACCACTTCCCTTCCCTCAATGTGTAAAGTCTCACTGAAGTTAAAAAAGAGATGCAAAGTGGTTCAATGCTCACAAACATTAATCTAGAAAGATCACCTTCTATTCCAAGATATTCTCTTGGACTCTGAAACTTTTGATAATCAAACTATCGTAAATGCTAGAGAATAAATAATCTCTTCAATTTCATTTATGATTTCCTGGACATGCATATCCTAGTGTTTTCTTTTCCTAAGTTTAAATCTATTTTAAAAACTAAATTCATTTTTGCCATTTGCTTTGGGTGTTCTGATTGGGGAGAAAAAGGTAAATTGATGACAGTTACTACAACTGAATATGTTTTCATCTTTCAAAGGGAATTCCATTTTTTAAAAAGCCCAAAACAACAACAACAACAAATTAAAAAAACCAACCATGAAATAGTGTTGTCTAAAGTTACGGGGCTACTGTGTTGTAATTTTTTCTTTCCTGTCAGAGAGCAAAGGTATTCAAGCATAAAGTGACAACCAGTATTGGCTTGGGAAACTGCCTCTCCACAATTCAGAAAATCGACATACACTTACACAAAAGCAACGTCTCAAAGCTCAGAATATTTGGCTACAAGCTTGGCTAATGCCTGCAGCACTGCAGAGGGCTGAGGTAACACAGAGAAACACTACACTTGGTGGGAGAGAACGCATAAATTAAAGGGATTCAGGGAAATCAAAGTACACGTAAGCACTTCACCACATTCTATTCTTACACAGGTCCTCACATTACATCAAGGTGAAAGCTAATGTTTGACAGATGAGTTGTAAGTGGCCTTTCATTCATTCTGCTTCTGATGCGACACATTTCTATTTACTGCACATGGATCCTAATTCTAAAGCAGAACTAATGCTCAATATCAAAATGTCTCTACTTAAGAAAGGTAAAAAGTGTAGGGTTTTGAAAAAAATTGAGAACTGCAGAAGCTTACTAGTGGCCCTTGCTCATCCCATCTAAATTCCTGAGCCTACAACAACACTCCGTTGGGTTAGAAATCATATGGCTAAAAAAAAAAAAAAAAGAAAAGAAATCATATGGCTAAGTTCCCCTGACACCCGGCTGGAAAATGACAGTCACCCCTGGCTGGCATTTTTGGGAAACGGAAGAATGGAGCAGTGTATCTTTGATTTAGATCAGGAACAATAACCTGTGGAAATCAGCACCTGAAATTTGGATTACTGAGTTACTTCATACCCCACAACACTAGCTTTGTTATTTTTAAAAGAAAATACTTTTTGTTTGAGCTTTAGGATTAGTGTCTCCACTAAACTCTAAAGCAAAAAAAAAAAAACAAACAAAACAAAAAACAAAAACAAAAACAACAAACAACAAAAACCCAGCGCACTGGGTAAATTGCTGCTTTAGCGTGGATGTGAAAATACTAAAGTACAGGAGGAAAGACTATGTTCTTAGTTCTTTAAATCTAGATTAAAACACATACACAAAGTTTCTCACCATAAGGCAAAATAAGAAGTCTCACCTAAGGAGTAGGAACTGCCTATGGTATGTTAACAAAAAAAAACCCTATTAGTCTTCCTTGTTGGCTTAATAGTATTTAGAAATTAAATGAGAACTGTGTGGGATTTAAATCACACATTAATACTTCTGAAGAATTTATTACAATGCCACAATTTGGTTTTAATTCTAGGTTATGGGAAAGCACATTATATTGGTTAGTATAAAAATGTTCTTTGCTTTGTTTAATGTTCCTAGATGTCTAGTACAAATTATGTTCTCTTAATAAAGACATGAAGTGGGGTATGTACCTTTTTGGTTGTTGTTATCTTAAATTTCCTATGTCTTGAAGATTGTGATTAATTAAACAATTGGGCTAAATTGGGGCATGGAGGGCTTTCAGGAGGAACGGCTTAGAAATGTTTAGTAATATTTCTGAAACAAGATTTTGAACTTTATTTTAAAATTCCAGCAGTATGACACTGAAGATGTGATTTCCTGTAAGCATACCACACCATTTGGGTAGAATAGGCCATTGCAATGCAACTCTTCCTCTTAAGTATTAACAAGTGGCTGTCTATTTTTCACTCCAACTTAGAACATTCTAGGCTACACACCAGTGGGGTATGAGTTGGCCTCTCTTCTAATAAAGCTGAAGCAATAACATCAAACCAAGGTGATTTTGAAGTACACACACACAAAAACCACAATCTATTTATGCCACAGAGTTACATGAGTAATATTCCTAAGAGACTGTAAATTTTTTTATCACTTATTTCTGTCAAACACGCTTAAGCACAGAATTACATTACGGAAGTATGTGGTATTCAATTTCCCATGTTTCATCCCCAAAGAGGACAAAGCACAACAATAACACAGCTCTGAAAAGCAAATTCCTTTAAGTGTAAATTTCTAAAACATAAGGTTGATCTAGAAGCACATTTTGAAATTCAACAAGCTCTCTTTTTCAATTAATATATTCAGTATGCAATTTTCAAACACAAAATCCCAAGTGATTTACCAAAATTTGTTTATAGTCATTTACTCTCTCACAAAATTATTCTCACTGGTTCTTTAGATTTCCAACGTTCTTATTTATTGGCTCAAAATACTTAACCTTTTATAGGAATATCTATTCATATTTCAAAATATGATATAGATTTTACTTTAATCTCATAATAAGAACACCACCAGCAAAAACATTTCCTTATGGTTGCCCTTAAAATAAATCTGAACAGCTCAAGATAGAAGGATTTTCATGAAATTATAAACTCTCCAAACCAAAGAGTTACAAATTAGTGCAACTTCCTTCGAAGGATTTGTCAAGCGCATACTGTAACTAGACACAGAAATACAGTCATCCCAAGAACAAGGTACTATTTTTTCACTTTCTAACTCAGCCTGGGCAGATGGGAGACGCAAAACTGTTATCATTCCAGGAGAAATGCTTGCAAAAGCCTGAGGGTCTTACACGGAGCTGGAGAATGGAACCACTTGTTTTCCGCCCACATAAACCTCCTCGATATTACGGTCATCTCCTGAAAAAAAAAAAAAAAAAGGAAGAAGTCTTTTATATAGTGCTTATGTGTCAAGAGTTATCTATGGGGGGAAAAGGAAAAAAGTTATCCATGTTGCCACTGGCAGTGATTTAAAACAAAAACAAAAAACAAACAAAAAAACCACCACCAAACAACAAAACAAAACAGTGCTCCTAGGAGAAGAATTTTTTTTTTAAGATATCTTTCTTTTTTTTTGTCATCTTGTTTATAACCTGGACAAAAGGGCTTAACCAATAGAACATATTGCATCTAACTTGAGGGTTAAGGTCTGCATTCTGAAAATCAAACTTCTCAGTCTTTCCCCTGCTGGAGTAGCTGGTTAGCAGTCCTAGGCTTTGATGTAAAATGAGGTTTTAGCTTTACACTGGAGAGTTCGTTCACAGGTGGTTCTCTTAACCCACAATTGTTAACTCCAGGTTGGAGGCCTGAGCTCACCAAGAAGTGACCTGGAGGAAATGTCTGGTGATCTGTCTCCTGTGGAGCACAGTTCTACTCCTAGGAGTCACCATGATTCTGGGTCTACTTGATGACAGATGGTTTTACTTTTCTCTTTATACTCTAAACTCATACTCAGCATGAGGTGAATGGCCTCCAAATGAAATCCTTCAACTCTCCAGTCTCCAGGGTTCTGAGCTGAGGGGTAGGGTTGAATCTTCGAGCTACTCAGTGTTTCTTTCTCAGCAGGTAGAATTGAAGTGAGTAGGTGAGACTCTGGTGTGGGCAGCCTCCACTGCACACAGTGAGCCAGGGCAGACGGTCGGAATAGAATGCATGTGAGAGGCCTGGATCCTCTTAAGTCTTTTGTTTCTCAATTTAGCATTCAAGAATCTGTGTTCTAGAGAAACATGCACATATCAAACAGTGCCTTTAAATACCATACCTTCAATGGACTTAGTAGTGAGAATTCTTTAAAAAAAATCCCCAAAAATCCACAAATAAAACAAAACACATGGTCTCACAGAAGGCTTAACACATGGCACCGCGAACACAGAGGGAAATATTCAAGAAAGAGGCCGATTTTATTTAGCAAAAACATAGCTACCTACCTAGATAGATGAACTTCTGCATAACAGCCTAAAATGGAAAATAAAGGTTATAATGAGAAAGAATACTTGACACACTTAAAAAAAAATGGAGTAAAAGAGTTGGCTGAGCCAAGAAATATTTTTTTTTCAATTACAAAGTCTGCCCCCATTAATGAATAACAAATAGCCTATAGCTAAAACAATCACTGACCACTCACAAGTGTTTATGGATAACACAATGTTATGGATATCACAATGGATAACATTGACTGGAAGTTCTTGGCTTATAACCTTGAAGTCTTCAGGGAAGGTTTTGTATTTATTTAAGGACTTAATAGAATAAACTTCAATTAAACATTTCAGTAGGTATATTATATAAGAAACAGTAATCAGTATGAGTAGAACTGAGCTATAATCTAGTGTAATAAAGAATTAAAAGATTAAATAATCTAAGAATTAAAAAAGGTACCAATTATAATCAATCAAACACCTTTCTCCCCTCATAACTTCTGTGTAAGCACATGGGTGTGGTCACACTAATAAGCCCCCAAACGGTGAGCCTCGTCTTTGAGTCTGTGAGTCCTTTGTGACCACTGCAGCACGGCACTGAAACCAGCAGAGAAGAAGGAAAATGGAAATATGTTTGACTTCTCGCTCACAGAAATAAGTCTCATCTTGTTTCTGGCTCATGATAATGTCCTTATACTAACGAGTTTGTACAATATAGTCCTTTTTTTAAAAATGATAATACAAACTGCCTGCCTTGGGGTCTGCAGTACAACTCCTTACTACTAGGCCATCATAGCTCCCTGCCACAAGACTGCTAGCCATAATAAACTTCTTTAAGCTTCACTGATCCCATCAGTACAACAGCTATATTAACAGTAGATACCTGTGAGGATTATTCCAATCATTAAATGAAACGATGTATAAAAATGCTTAACCCCATGCTTAACTAGTACACACGAAGTGTTCCGTTGATCCTACTATGCAAAATATTACTGTCATAAAATGATAGTAATAGCACAAAGATCTAGTTGTCCTAAGATTTCCTTAAAATGTTTCCACCTCTATTTTTTTTTCTTCCTCCATGAAAGGTATTGCGTCTACATCATGGGATAAATGTTTTTGAGTACTCGAGTACTCACCTCTGAAATATCACCAGTAAAATCACCATAAAACAGGTCAATGGGAGAGTCCGATGCTTTGGGGTTGATCAGGAGCGCATCAAATTCCTTACCCACTTCAAAGTTTCCAATCTCACTATCCAGCCCCAGGGCTACAAAGTGGAACAAGGTTATAAACAGTATTTTGAGCCATCAGACCATGCAAAAGTCCCAGTTTTCAAGGGCAAAATCAACCAACATAATATCAAAAGAGGGGGAAAGTTAGCATCTTACAAAACAGCTCTCTCGTTTGAGTGGGTTATGACTTCAGCTTTAAAAAGTAAATCAAGGCCAGGAAAAGCAAAACCTGAGAATAAAAACAGTTCCCCTCATTACCACAATCACAGTTCCTATGGAATCTCTAGTTCAGCCCTGCTGGTGCACTTCTATCCCAGTTACTCTATGATGATCTCTTTAAGAAATATAATAATTAACTTGGCACAAAACGTTTGTCTTGTCTTCCCACTCTTCTTCTATTTGTTAGTTTCAACTAACAGATACAGCCCTGGGCGTGCTCACCAGTCTATGCCCAGAAATTTAGAAGACAACTACCTGACCAGCTGATTGGGAAGAGATTCATATTTGTTTCCATTCCAAAGAAAGGTGATCCAACAGAATGTGAAAATTACATATAATATCATTAAAATCACATACAAGCAAAACATTGCTGAAGATCACCCCAAAATAGCTAGAATATGCATTAGCAGAGAATTACCAAGAGCTCACAGTGTGTTTAGAAGAAGTGATGGCACCAGGGATATCAGTGTTGATGCCAGATGGATCTTAGCAGAAATCAGAGAATTCCAGAAGAATGTCTACTTGTGTTTTATTGACAATGCAAAGGCAATTGACTGTGTGGATTATAATAAACTATAGTTACCATTGGATTATAATAAACAATGCAAAGACAATTGACTGTGTGGATTATAATAAACTATAGTTACCATTGGATTATAATAAACTATGGTTAACATTGAGAAGAATGGGAATCTCAGAACATTTAATTATGCTCATATGAACTTACACCTAGAAGTTGTTGTCTAAACAAGAAGCTGTTGTATGAATAGAGCAAGGAACAACTCATGGTTTAAAATCAAGAAAGGAATGTGTCATTTCTCTATACTCATTCAATCTGTATGTGGAGCATACCATTTGAGAAGCTGTACTCCATGAAGAAGAATGGGCATCAGGATTGGAAGAAGACTCATCAACCTGAGTTAGGCAGATGACACAACCTTGCTTGCTGAAAGGGAAAAGTACTTGAAGCACTTAGTGCAGAAGATCAAGGACTACCACAACAAGATAAAGGTAAATAATCCAATAGAAAAATGGGCACAGGATATGAACAGGCATTTCACCGAAGACGACATTCAGATGGCTAACAAACACATGAAGAAATGCTCAAAATCCCTAGCCCTAAGAGAGATGCAAATTAAAACAACTATGAGATAT